TTTTACATTCTATAGAAAACACTTATATTTTTCATTTTATACCAACAAACCTGACAAACCTAGGATGGTGCAGTTCATTGACACTAATGGCAACATAATTGAAGAAATTGTAAGTCCTAAATTCTGAACTGGTCAAGCTGTAGAGAATACATCTAATGGTTTTGTTTTAGGCGTTGTTATCGGGTACCTCTTATCAGAACCTGACGGACAAAATTTGCGGAGTCTGGCGACGAGTATCCAAAGACTATAAGCGTTTATTACGCGAAGAAAAGATATCCGTATCACTAGTTTGGGATACGGCTATTATCGGTGGCTCTCTTTACAGGTAAGCTAATTACAGCATAATCATAATTTTACCTACCAGTTTTTCATAGCTCCACGGGATTTCAACAATAAATTCGATAAAAAAATTTAATTTATTCTATGGGTACATACTCTGCAAGAACAATATATTTTTAGGGATCTATTTTTTACTATTGTAAGATGGTCTAATTTTTGTGTTACGTCTCAACTGAAGTGCCTATTATACTTGTATTATTTATTGATATTACAATATTTCATGCATGATAGATTCGATAGATACCTACTATAGTCTATGACAGGCAGTTATTGTTGTTACATTATCATAAAAATGCAGTTGAATTTTAGAAAAATCACGAATCACTCTTTGAAAAATCATTATTGAAGAGTAAGGGGGTTGAACAGCTCACACTCTCACCAATGTATACGAACCTAAAATATCATAACATATATTTTGTACTACGTATTATTAATAAAGCTAACGTAGGTTTAGAGCGCTGGACACAGAGGCTTTCAGCTCGCTTCTCACGGGCGACGCCCGAGACTCCGGCGGTACGAGCATTGTGTCCATATCGACCATATCACCGTCCATACACGTACAAATCATGTTCAATGGTCCGTTCGCCAGTCAAGACAGTGGATTGTTTCTAGTCAAATTGAAATACGCCGGAAACGAACGCGCCATTATAGAAGAGGTACGTGCACTTAAATATTCGACCGAATACAAAGACTTAAAATATATGACATTATAATCTCCGGTTTTAAACAATGATTGCAGACCATAAGAGTGGACAAGCTCACAAACGGTACGATCATCGTCGAATTACGATCACCCGTCACGTTTTCCGACCTCAACGCGTTGTCCAAACGAGACGTCGTCGTCACTTTGGAAGCCAAACAGTCGGGTTTCAAGTTGCAGGGAGTCGTGGTACCCCGGGTGTTCTGTGACCTCTACCAGACGCTAGTCGCATCTAATGGCCATCAAATTGACTCAAAAAAAGACAGGTGTGTATACTGCATTAGTCAATAGTGTTAAAGTGACATGTTATCATAGTTATAACCGATGATCGCCACGCGCCGGGCGTTTGTGAATTATTGCGCGATATCCATAAAATGCACTGGTGCGTTGCACGAAATTTAATTCATGCACTAGTATAAAAACCGAATATACAATAATTTTAAAAATACTCTTGGCATTGCATTGTGATCAATTTGGCAAAACACGGAAAAGACACACTTCCTCTGAAAGGGAAACTATATTATTTAGTATGTATATATATATATATATATATTATATAGCTCCGTCGTATTCAACGAAACCATTATACACCAATACGTTTTGCACGAAATGAAAGTTTTAAATTGTATAATATGTTGACCGTACGTGTGAATGACCTCGTGTCACTTAAATTATTCATGTGGATGACTGAAATAGTGCAGTTGATCGCTAATGGTAGTTATACCTTATAATCGTGCTGTTTGTAAGTCGTTCGCCCGAGTAAGTGTCCAAGGTGTATACCACGCACATTTCAAAGAGAAAAAGCGAAAATGTTAGTAAATATTTACAATATTTTAGTTGTGAAATTCCGCTCAAATATACATCATAAATATATATAACGTGTCATCAACAATAAAGTGCACGTACCATATGATTCAAATCGTCTACATTGTTACTCTGTTTTCTACGACGACCGGCAGCGGCGGCTGAGATATGTTCTGCGATTACGCTCGGAAATAAATTATTCGCTTAGCTGTTATAACTATCTGGCGTGGTTCCGATTGTTTTGAATAATGCTCTTGTTTTTAATGCGTTTTGGCAGGACCTGTGGCGTGGCTTGGGCGTTTATTAATAAGGACGGAGCGTTGGAGTATCGTGTTAAATTTGACAATAACGCAGTCACTGAGTTGGCTATTGGTAAGGTTACAAAAATAGATGCACTCGATTTAACGCAATCCCATTAAACACGATCGTTTAATTTTCCCCTGCGTCGTGCAGTTTCTAGCGAGTCCCGTGTGTCGGCCCTCGACATATCCGAGACCATTGTCCAAAACTGGAGCAACGGGACAGTGTCCACCGTGGGCCCAGTACACCTGGAACAGCTGTACGCCGAGGAACTGAGCTTGTTCAGTGCGTCGTCTGGCTTCAAGAATCGATTTCTGTGGAGACCGGTGGCTGATGCCAGATACACGTCAGACGCGATGCTTCTGTCCAGCCCCGACGAACGGTCGATGGTCGGCATCTTGTGGATAACCGTTGACCCCGACTGTACGCTGCAATACGAAGTGAGCTTAGGCTATATTTTATTGTACCTATAACGTCATTAATAGGTATTTTATAAGCTCGCCAGTGCGACTGTGCAGCACTGCAGCACCCAGCTATATGTAATAACGATATAAAAAAAAATAAAAACCTACAGGTCGTCCTCTCCGGTTCCAACGTCAAAAACCGAATCTTTGAACTATACATCGAAGATTCGCCGCTTTTACTTCCCGGGGCACCGGTGTTCAAAAGGCTTCTCGAAGAGTTTGAGGGGCCGACGCTCGAAGGGTACACTATCGGCTTAAGTCAAGAAGAATTATCGCGACTCAACGTCAACATCGTTCACGTGGACCTGTGGGATCCGAAACTGGGACAATCCATACTAAAAACCGAATGGAAACATGTTTGTTACCTATTTTATTGAGTAAATGAAATCGCATCTCTATTATTTATTTATTCGACATATTATTATTATCAGGTTAATGTTCCTGCAGTTTGTTATGCTCGAGACGCGGGCGATAACGATTCAAACAATATACTCATGAACGACGACGAATCAGACCACCCACACGCGTCACACTTAAGTTGTTTACATGGTCAAAAATATTATCAACATGGCGCTCAATGGACATCCACGGTAGACGAATGTTTCATGTGCAATTGCCATTATGGTAAGGCAGTGTGTGACCTTATAATTTGTCCAGTAGTGCAATGTCCAGTGCCTTCGGCCAAACCGGGAATGTGTTGTCCAACGTGTGAAGGTAAATATAAAACACCCAAGTTGAGACGAAGTTGGCGCAAGCAATTTTGAGGGATTTTTGATTTCAGTGTTAAATCGTATTCGTTTTGAATTTAGAGTATCGTAACAACCACATGCGTTATCTCCACTTTACATAGTTATTATGTACAGTAGATAGACATAGCAATTTTCGTTGAGCAGAACCAATTTTATATTGATAGCTTGTCACTTTTATGTACCTAACGTTATTATTCGCTTATTAGACTACCTATTATTAGTGAATTTATCTGTACAATCAAACTTAGAGTAAACATACTACGTGTGATTGTCTTATGATTTTATGCGATATTTTATTTTTAAATAAATTATGATTGAGTATTTTTAAATATTTTTATATTTTACATACACACTTCCTTAGGATCCGGTTAAAAATTAAAATATTGTAAAATCTAACATACAAACACAGGTAATCTGATCTTACCTTTAAGTTATCTTTAATTCACTCTGTTAAAATACTACAGTACCTACTCATAACTGTCCAAGACTAAAACTTTAACTGCCTATTTTTATCCTACTATAGAATGGTACTCGGCTTCTAGCAGGTCAGCTAACTTAATAATTTAACTACTCTAATATTAAATCAAATAACATAAAATTAGTTCTGCTGAACTCAAATTTCTTTTGTTGTATGTTTTTAAGACGAATTCTGGTAAAATGTCCTTAAGAATTTTTTGACACAGTAAAAGTAGATGTTTTGTTGTACAAAAATGCATGCGCTATAAAACCTGTTTATTATAAGTCATAAGACTATTTTTACGTATTTTTTTCATTAGATAATGTATTAGAAAATCAAAATAATTCAACAAACTCTTGCTTGCTAGCTGGACAACAATTTCAAGCTGGCAGTAGTTGGCATCCATATTTACCTCCAAACGGTTTTGACACTTGTACACTATGTCATTGTAATGTTAGTAATTTAAAAATGTTAAAAAAAATTTAATTTCAATAATTTTATCCATTTAAATGTACTCTAGAACACATCGTTAAAAATAAAGTGCCAACGGATGGACTGTCCACCATTGGAATGTGATCAGAGAGTGGCTATAAGGCCAACAAAACGTTCCTGTTGTAAGGTTTGTCCGTCCACTTTGCAAACTACTTCTAAACCAACAGGTCCACTTGTTCAACTAGCTCAGGGTGACCAACAAGTCAACGGAGAGAGTGGTTCAGATATAGAAGTATTAACCAATGGTGGTTGTAGTTATCCTGTTGGAGGACCATATGAAAATGGTCAAGAATGGCATCCCAAGATATACTCGCATGGTGAAGTCAAATGCATCAATTGTAAATGCAAAGTATGTATTCAAAATTTTACTACTTATTGTAATCATAAATTTAAAAATGTATAAAAGTATATTTATTATAAAATCTCAAAATATTGTTTACTCACACATTTCAGATAACCTATAACTATATGTATATAAATTATTAAGATAAAGATTATTTTAATATATCAAATCATTATCAACATTATTTTATTCTATTTAATTGTAATGTGTTTTAAGTTCAATTAAATTAAATTAATACTGTTCTTGTATTTTAGTTTTGAACAAAATTGTGGTTATACCGTAGTATTCAATGATAACTTTTTTCAGGATGGAAAAGTGAGATGTGATCGTAAAAAATGTCCAAAATGGTCTTCGTGTTCAGATCCTTGTTGCAAATCTGTTTGTCGAAGACACAAACGTCAACTATTTAAATTTTAAATATAAACAACACATTGTTCCTGATTAAACAAAAAAAAATTAAGTGTAATGATAAATAGGTACAGAATAATATTGCAAACTTTTATATACAATAATGATGAGACTCATCAAATAAGCAGTCTTATACTTATAATAATTAATATATTATTGTTTACCGAAATCCATAGACTGATATACATAATATATATTATTTTTCTTTTAATGAGTAGCTGATATTATGTAATTGTCAGTATTAATTTAAGAAAATTGAATGTAATTATAAACATTTAAAAAAAATATTAACTTACTATAATATTGTAAATATGTAATTTTTTTTTAATTTTAAATTATAAAATTGTTGGCTGTCGTGATAAGTAATTTTTGTTCTCTTATTGAATTTTAGTAAGTCAAAAACATATTAATATTTTATTAAAAACTTGTTTTTAAATGTGTACATTTTTTTTTATACATATATAGATATATCTTAAAATTAATATTTATTTACATTATGTTGTTTTACTTTAGACAGAATTTTTTTTTTTTTAAGTTAAATTTAATACATGTATATTGTATACAGTGTTATTGCTATATCAATCTAAAGTTTTTAAATGAATTAAGACACTGAAAAATTCATATGAACATTATGTTACCATGGCAACAATAAATATATTTTAAAAAGATTATTTTTCTATTATATATGAATAAAATATTAATTGCTTTAATTCCTTTTACCTGATTACTTTGAATTATGTCTTGAACAATAAAACCGCACACCGTCCACATTAGTAGCTCTAGTATATTTGGCCAAGAGGTTGTTTACATTTAATTTATCAGTAGACAATTTCCTAAAAAAAAACAATATTTGTAATAAAACTGAAACAACCTAGTTATTTTTAAATAATACTCGAGAAATGGTTGAATTTCATCAAATGTCCATTTACTTCTGACTTGAAATAAGTATTGAAATCTATCGATTATATCATCCGGTAAGTCTTGTTCATTAAAATAACAAATTGTCTGTGGGTGACTGGATTGATCAACAAGAACTGTACCATTCAATTGTTTCAAATTAGTAGTCATTCCTAGAGAAATACACAATTACACATGAAAGAACAAAAAACATTAAATATACAGTATAAGAAATTAAAAGTTAACCTTCTGGTACACATCCTTGCCAGGCTGTCTTAAAATCAGTTAAATTAAATTTGTCGCATGGACGTAAAAGTCCGACAGCCATAAATCTACACACTTTGTCTTCAATTAATGATCTATGTGTTTGACCTTTAAAAATACAAAAAATTTAATACATTAATGAATACTTAAATTATATCTCTCATACTATTACATAAAATTTTAAATAGGAATAAAATTTTATGAATATCAGTAAAAATAAACTAATGATTATTACATAAAAATATAAAATAATTAAATACTATAAAGAATTAAAATGGATAATTTATTCATTCTGTCTATAATTTATTTATAATGCTTCATTGTATTGTATTAAAACTAATATTTTCTGAAAGTTCGTTAATTAGTAAATCTATTGAAATATATCTGATTTAATTATTTAAATATGTTTAGAATAATGTCAAATATTTATAAAAAAAATAATAACCGAAAACTTTTTTAGCAGAATGAAAAACATTTCTAATAAATAAACTTACTTAAATTTGATGATACACACCAAGTACTATATTGATCAATAATGTGATGCAATATTACTGGAGGTAATAATTCACCAAGAATATTAAGAGTTTCATCCATAGGTACTGTATTATAAGGCCATGATTGTTCATCAATTAAATTTAATAAAAACGATAAAGCTCTACATTCATATTCAAACTCTAGTACTCTCCAATAACCTAGAATAAATAATGATTGAAATTAATGTTTCATAGTAAAATATACATTTTTTTTTTTGTCAATTGAATTATTATTTTTGTTTAAATTACCATCAATTTGGAATGCACCCATTTCTTTGAGAGCATCTTTTAGTTGGTCATCACTAGCTTGTATTTTGGCTGATAAATGCTCAAATGTATACATTTCATTGGATGCCAACACTTCTTTTTCGAGTTCTGATCCTTTGTAACTAGACCTTTCTAGTAACTTTCTCAATTTTTTAAGACGTGGTTTACAAGGTTTCACTTCAAAGTATGTGTGAAATATACCAACTACCTACATTAATTTATTTATAAATATTTATCATAACATCGCCACCTTTACAAAATAAATTACTTTTCTGCTAGTAAGTTCTGTTTTGTTGGTATCTTCATCCGGAAATGTTAATTCAGGAAGTAATAAAATTGAATTTGAAGTTTCAGCTTCTTTGACATCATAGGTCTTAGTCTTAGTACATAATACAGCAGATTCTTCATGATCTCCTTTGAATACCACACTATAAAAATACAAAATAAGTAAGACAAAAGAGAAGTACCTGCATAACAATGCCAAATAAAGCTATTAAAAAATGAATAACAAATGAGCTTGAAAAAAATATTAAGGTTAGACATAATAAATTATGGTAATACTTATTGAACAACTTGAAATACTATCCTAGAATTAAATTAAAATATTATTAGTAAAAAAAAATATAAAGAGGTTTTGATTCAAATTAATCTGTTAACTATTTCAAAATATTTAAAAATGGAAATTATGATATTATCTTAATAATTGTATATAATAAATTTACTTTAATTTTTTCAATAAGCCATAATTTAAAGTAAAATAGTAAATAATGAATATATAATATTCAATTTATGCCGCGATTAGTATGTTTATATGATGGTGTTAAAATGGTTTGAAATCTGTAGATACTCACTTTCTTATTGATAAATTAAGTTATTTTATTAACTAATAAAAATACAAATATTTAATGATTTAAAATAATTTTTAAAATGTCAAAATATTATACTAAATATTGTTAAATACTAAAAGCAATGATAGAAAAATAAAAAAGTTATTAATATTGATTTACATTAAATCTTACGTTTGACCACATTTAAGATCCGACAGAATGTGTTCATCCAGCTGCAACAGTTTGTAATTTTCAAATTTTTCTCCGAAATAAATAGGTTGTACATTTGGCTTAAGATCGTTTTCCGAAAGTTTTGCATGCTCTATGACTTTTTTTACGTCTTCAACAGTTCTGACATAGTTACTGAAAAACATAATACAGCGTTTATAAATTAGTTAATAAATTACCTTTAGTACTTTTACCTTATTTCGTTTTGAGACATTTTTTTATAAGAACTTAACTTAATATAAATTAAATTTAATAACGATGAAAAAATATAATTTACACTTGAAATCTGTAATACACATGTAATAATAATTATACCATTAATACCAATTATTAAAATGAACTAATGAGTTGGACTAGACAAAAAAGATATTAAGTTGACAGAGTACACAAATTAAGATATAGGTGTTTAATTTAATTAACTTTTTATTCGTTACAGAATAATATAATTGTGATTCTAAGTTAAAATGTAGATCGTGAAGAAGTGATACAATCATTAATTTCGATGGTAAGTTTCTAGAGTTATGGCCACGATTATAATGATTACACTGACATCAGACATACTAAGTACTGACTTGGATCATGAGACACAAAATAGCGGGAAATTAAATCACCTTGTTAATTGTTATCAACAGGGTTATCAACGGAACACAATATTTTGTGTCTAAAAATACACGAGTATACACTATACAACATACTTCCATAACCTAACTAGGCACCCACCTTAAAAATTATTATTCTAGAATTTGTGTCCAACACTCATAAATATACTTTATACATTCGTTTCTCGTTATTTTAAATTAATTTTCTTGACCGGTCTGCAATTAAATACTAGACACAATTTAAAAAAATAAAAAATATTGATGTTTAATTATTTTTATATGATATATCAGATTAATTATGAAAATTCAATTTTTCAAGGTTTTCGGGCAAAAACTTCATAAGTTATTAGTATGATAAGCAAATTTACTTAAACTAGAATAATTTTTCTAACTATTCTTTAGCAACAGTGTTGAGTTTTCCATTGCCATAGCCCATAATCGGCATGATCATAAAAATAAAAGATGAAGAGATGTAAATGTCATATTGCCAATTGCCATTGTTATCGTGTATTCATAACATATTTTGAACATTTCATGTCATTTTTATGTTATCATCAACAAACGTGATAAGCCGATAACAACAAGTTACCGATATCTCATGGTATCAAGTAAATAACAAAAAGCAATAATATTGTTATTTAATATTTTTTAATTTTTTGATACTTTAATAACTAATAAGTAAAACGATTTTAAACTCAATATTTTTAAAATCTCGCTGTTCGATAATCTTGCTATTGATTTTGATGAAAACAAATTGGTAATAGATTTAGTACCTACTACCTATTCCGCAGAACGATGAGAAAATACCAACAATTGCTGTTGGTGCTCGTATCTTTTTTCAGTGTCTTTTCGCTGTTGTTGTACAGGTATGAATACATGCAACTTTTAAACGTCTTGGAAGTACTCAACTTTTTTGGTTACACAGCTGATAACATGACAAATTGTGTTTTACTGGAGGATAAGTTCTATGTGGATCTAGAAAATGACAATTTATTAGCAAAAGCACCCGTCTCCTGGATTAAACGCGATCAGTACTATGCATATTCTGCCTTTTGGTCTGCTCAACAACAGTCTGTTCATTTGCTGGTTCTAGGCCCTAGATCAGCATTCTCTGGTTATGAATGTCGTGTTTGGTTTAAAATGGCAGATCAGTTTGTTTCTAAAACTGCAAAACTTTCCTATAACATTAAAACTAACAACCGTGATCCAAATTTTCATCAATATGAGATTCATTGCAAGCCTGACAAAGTTCCTGTTGACACTGAACCATATGGAGTTTTGCTGGGACGGGAAGATTCGTTAAAACTATTCATACCGATCACAATTCAAAAAGAATTTCCTGTCAAAGAAGATCTGATTGTATGTATTGCACCTGATTATTCTGGCATTCCTGATACATATCTTGTGGAATTCATCGCATATCATACATTGTTAGGTGTTCGTCATTTTGTAGCATATGATATTGGTATACATTATAAAGTTATTGAATTTTTACATTCACTTGCTGGTCACAGAGATTTATATAAAACTTTTTCTACACTCTCTTGGCAGTTTCCTTCGACTGATCTTCAATTAGAAAAGTCTATTATACAAAAAGATTGTGTGCAAAGAACACAGGGTCTTGCTAAACATAGCATTTTATTATCATGGGATCAGTACTTGATTTTGAACAAGAATGAAAATTTGAATTCTTTTAAGAATGACATTGAATATACATTTGAAGTAAAGAAATGTTGTAATAATCGGCAGTTAAAAAGATCCTGGCCAATGGCTATGAAGAAAACAATATGTGAAAGAACCAATGAAACAGTAAATACTATCGCTAATGATCAAACAATGAATTATCAATCGCCAACAAAAATGGGATCAATACATAGATTGGAAGAATTATGTGAAAAAATCTATGGAAAAGATGACAAAAGTATGGCCAAGTATTTAATTAATTTTGTTAATAGTAAACTACTGAGCTTATGGAAATCTCAATTAAAATTGTCCATTACTCATGCAACAAATAATAATGTGATAAATCTGCATAAAAATTATTCTTGAATTTATTTTGACTGTAACATTTAAAAAGAAATTATATGCATATATTTTTTTAAAGTATATTTTATACAAAATCAAATAAATATTTTTATTTTTAAATAATTAAAGTAATGTGCTCTTATTTTTCTTAAATTTCAGCTTCCAAAAATACATCATAAAATAATGTAATAAATTAATAAAAACAAAAAAAAAAAAATCAAGTAAGACTAAAATACTTTAACCAATACGTTGGAAAATCACAGTGTTCAATAATCCTGCCTCCGACAATGTTTGATCATTATTGTCTAATGTTTTTGGAGGGTATGATGACTGCAATTTAAATGGCCTAGTAGCAAAGCTGGATCTTGCACTGAAATAAAAAGTAGTTAAGGAAAATAAACAATAAATCAGTTAATTGCTAATAAAATTATTGACTTGAAGTAAATTAAATTAATGACTGTTTCCGCAACACTTAATATCTACAAAAACAATAAACGAATACATATCATATATTAATAACAAGTATTATTAAACTATTTTTATGTTTTAAGCATGAACTAAATTAAATAATAAACACAATTTTAATGATTTCTTGAAACTTTTCTTCACAATTCTCTACAATAAAACTTGATAACTAATATTTTATATTAATATACTATAGGTAAATATATTGGCTTAAACTAGAAGTGTACAGGAAACTTGTACACTTCCAAAAAATAAAAGCTCTTCTATTATATTTTGAAAAAAACATTATCAATAAAAAAAATGTAAAATGTTGTACTACACCTACTGCATATTGTGGAATATAAATACCTATTATGTTTCCAGTTGAAAAATAATCTTTAGTTTATTTAAAATTGTAAAGACAAGTCACAGCAGTTATTTGTGCATAATAGTCATAATCATATGTTATGTATTAAACACAGATAAATGATGTTTTTCTATAGCAGAAAAGCCAACGAATATGAATATTCTTATATTGTTTTCATAGTAATAACTTGTTTCGATACAATCAAACTATAAAATAGCGTCGTTCACAATTTTTTTTTAGAAAACTATTTTAATGTTTATAGTATTACCTAAATTATATACTTAATAATATATAATAATGCACCTAAAATATTTAAAAAATAAAAAAATAAATTTATAATCTAGGTCATTCACTTTTAATTAGTTCTACTTTTAGTTTAAAACTCTATTTCATGGTGAAATTAGATTATACATTTTACTAGAGGAATAAGTCTTTTTAAAGAATAATACTTAAAAAAAATAAATATTTAATGAAAAAGGATACGCTATGATGTAACGGCGAACATCTCCAATTGTATGGCTATGATTAAATGTGGCTACAATTCTTGTACCATCTACTAATCTGATCTGTAATGAAGTGGTTGGTGCATCTGGTGTTAAAGGAACTTCAGCTCGAGCACTTGTTTCATTAGCAACACCATTGTCTGAAGAAACTTCTTTTGGGATTTCATTACCAACAACATCTGGTGCAGGGCTACAAATTCATATTCGTCATGAAACATATTTAATTTAATATAATATGTAATATTACCTTCCCAACAAATTTCCAGACCCTCCAAAAATCTTTTTTTTTGGTTTAGTTGGTACATATTCTTCATATCTATGATCTTCAACACTAACATGAAGTTCATCTTCGCTAGATACATTTGCCTCTTTCAAAAGTAGCGGTGGAATATCCTCTCTAAAATAGTAAAACATAACAATTAATAATGAATTTATTTGTACAAATTATTTTAATGCATAAAATAAGAAATTTAACATTGGTACTTGTGGGTTAAATTAACCATCGAATAATTGTTGCAGGACCGGGTGGCAGTATTGTAGTAAACAGTTTCCACCCGTTTCCGGTTTTGAACAAAGAAAAAAAGGTTATACTAACCAAAGACTTTCTAAACACCCTATTTTTTAAACTAACTAGTCATGCAATTAAAAATGTTTATGTTATTAGAAACCAATAATAAAAATATCAAAATTTTTAATTATACATACTAATTTGTTTTGAACATTTAATACTAACCCTCTAGCTACTAGAAGTAGAAATTCTCTATTTTCTGGCTTATCAATGCTGTGCAGCTCACCATCATTGATAGTGAATCCTTCTTTCCATACTTTTAAGACAACTTCTTCTTGATTAGATGAACGTTTTGTAGTAGGATTATGAGATGGAATGACTAAGATCAAAATATTTTAATAAAAACACTAATTTATAAATGATTCAATAAAATTGTATTCAACAGACCTTCAGTGTCATTTTCAGTTTGGCCTAATTTGTAACCTGTACCAAAGAAATTTGATGCACCACCGTCATGTGTAGAACTGCTGCTACTACTTGGAGCTGAAGTACTAGCATATCTAGATTTAGTATTAACATAATTAATCTATATGTACCTATATTTAAAACTTATGAATGATTTTTTTTTTACTTTTGTGCCGTTTGAAACATATCAGTGATGACATCGGTATTGTTGCGCGGAGGTCCAATTACTTGTTGACCACTTGTGATTGATCCGCCAGCATAGAACCTCTGACCTTCATCATCACTATCTTTATCTTCAACTTCAGCATTCTTCAAACTACTGAAAGTCATTATCCTAAAAAATAAAAACCATGCATTGTAAAAATAGTAGTTTATCAATATTACTAATTTGTTAATGGTAATTTGTCAATAGAATTAAATGCAATTCAATTACCTAGATTGTGGTTGCCATTTTTTTGGTTTTGCTGCTGGCTTATAACTCGACACGCTCGCCATAGGTACATCTCTGTTAGAAACAGCTGCCGGCCTAGATGTAGACTGCCCAGCATTATCGTTCAAAGGTTCGTCATCAGTACCTTCATCATAAAAACTGGCCAATGCAGCCTAAAAATACACACAAAAAAAAAAAAAATATTAACAGCAACACTAGGTATAACTTAATTATTTCATTATTTACATCCATATTCCATGCGGCCGATTCTAAATAAAATTTAGCTCTTTCAGAATCTACATTAGTTATGCTTGCAAATTCGTTGACCTTGTTGCTTTGCTCTGAGTCGCTCATTATGAAACTAGACTTAGGGCAATTACAAAAAATAACAACAAAGAATATTATGCGCAACAACTAAAATGAAATTTTTATATTTATATAAACGTTTAATGTAATAACATTACTAAAAGTCAATATTCCAATACATCCAAGTGTAACTTGTTTATCTCTTAGTTCATAGTGTTCTTACCCACAAAAAGCGCTTGTAATCAATTTTTTTTTTGTTTTTGAATCTCTGATGTAACCTTAAATATTTAATCAGTGTGACCAGAAAAAAAACCCTCGTCTAATTTTTATTTTTCATTATTCGGAGTTGCCCACACTACCAAACAAATCGTGGTGCAAAACCACAGCATAAGATTATGCACAACAATAATAAAAGCCTGATATTATCACTCGTATCGTGTTATCTTCTTGAAGTATTGAACTATTGAATATTTCACAAATATTTAATAAACATTAATTGTTTTTTTATGTACTTTCGTCTATTGCATTCGATTTTGCCCTGTCTGATAGCTGACTGTATTGTAATTTAAAAAATACCCACTTTTATTATCAAACATGGCTGATGCTTTCGACAAACTTCGTATGATGGAAGACGAAATGAACAAGTAAATTGTACATTAATATTATAAAAGTCATTTTTTTCTTGATGGTTAAATATTTGTTTTAGATTTGAAGAAGAAATTGGAATACCCAATTACATGGATGGAACACCTGGTACACAATCATACAGTCACGTGAATCGTCATCATTTGAATTCTGGTAGTGGATATTCAAATGAACATGAATCGGCTAATGCATACATGGAAAGTACCTTAAATTCTGGTAATAACAAATTGATATAAACATCTTACCTCAAAGTTTTTACTAGATACCTACAATATTTTAAAAAAAAATTACCTTTTAAATATATTATTAAGTTATAGAATATACCTATTCCGATTTCCGATTAATACCTATTGAAAATTCTGGAACTGTCTGTGACGTAATTATGAAGAGAAAACAAGTCTTGTAAGTTTTGTATTTAACTAAAGACAAAGGTGCTCGTCATCAAATTCTATTTTAATTGAAATATTTATATATACAAATTATTTAAACCTACATAATATATATTTATTATCTTTTAATTAAATAAGATCATAATAATGATTTAAAAAAATATATAATTTAATATTTAATTAATTCTGAAGTAAATATATTATAGTTTTCTATTGTTAGTTATATTGTAGATATTGCAGTCCCGTGGGTTAATAGTTTAATGGTTGTAAATATTTATCAAAATCATGATTCATATTTAGGGCCTAGAAACTGATGCATTTTCATTGTTTTTCCTTATATTTTAATATAATACAATGATAAACACAAATTTGATTTGTTGTATACTTGAAAAAATACTGCGATAGTGTTATTTTTATATTACTTAGATATTTATTAAATTTGTTCAATATTTTTCTAAATGTCACAAGCCAAGATTAATAATTTATCATTTTTATTTTTATCTTATGAATCTTGATTGTTTTTGATGAATTAAAATTAAATAAATATATTCTATGCATTATAAAAAGGTATTAGATTTTTTTTATCTAATGAATTCGTACCTTTATTATCAGATATTCTAATCAGAAAACATCTATATTTTTTTACTGTATTCTTATGGTTAACCATATTAATATTTTAATTTTAAGACTCATTACAAATACTCTGTGGTTCATATATAATGTAAATATTCATAAAGACCTCCAAATTATCTCAATCGTTGACTACATACAAAATTTATCAAAAATTGTTCACAACAATACTTAAATCTTCAGGCTTGCTGTATTACAATCTTTATGTTCACCTGTCACTCCTAAAAAAATTAAAACATAGCCGCCCACACGACCTCAATAGTTAAAATATTTAAATCATTGTACTTAGTAAATCACCATATATACTGTTAATACTATATTTAAAGTTATCACGTTAAAAATAGTCACAATTATTTATCTGTATTATGAATAGACATAATCATAGGCTATAAATGTCTTATTTTATAAATATATATAAAAAAAAATTAAAATATATTAATTATCAATATTAATAAAAGTTAACATTGTACTAATTAAATTATTGTAGAAATAAAAATTTTTAAAATTTATTTTTCATAGAAAAAAAGTTTTAAAATAAACTCAGAAAATAGCTCTGCTGTATAGAATGTTTTGAATATACTTAATCATTGTGTAGTTTATAGTATTTAACTATTATGGTAATCTAGTTAAAACAAAATAATGTAACACTTGTTTATATCACAAATATATGTCATTTACTACTATTTCATACAAATCATAGGCATAATTTATTATTGCCAAACTTAGGTAGGTAATTTATTCATGAAGTAGAAGTGGACTTTGATTGATCTCTGCTATTGACTTCGGTAAATTTTTAGTATTAATACTTATCTAATTAAGTGAATTTTTTAATGTTTAGTAATTTTTCTACATTTTAAGCTTGTAGCCTTATGTTTTAGGTTAAGTGTCTTTTTGAAATACTTTCATATAATCCAGTTCTGGGCCTTAGTCATACCAGCTCAAAATAATAAAATGATGTCTAGATCTTTGAAATTTTTTTTCAATTATTTATCTTTATTAATAATAACTTATTATATTAAGGTGCTGTTATATTAATATTATAAATTTTTTAGATAATTATTCATTGATGGGACAACAAAATACAATAACCTCTCAAGGATATAATAATATGCGACCATCATTCTCTAACAGTCAAATGCTATTACAGCAACCACAACGAAGATTTAATGTCAAAGTAGACAAAACAATTGGTCCTGTTATTCTCAGGTATCTATAGATAATTTCTCTTTAATTTCTGTTAACCGCCAATTAACAATTCCAATATAAATTCCGTACAACAAATAGAGTAGTAGTAATTATATATTTTTGAAATACCTAATTGTGATTTATATTTGTCATTAATTTACTTACCTGTAAGTTATTATTGACATTTGTAAAAGTTATTTAAAATTTATAATTTATTCTTTATCTGAATGTATGTAATACAATATTTGTTCACAATTTTATCAATGTGAGATTAAAGTGAGTGTCATAAAAAATGAAATATGTATGAAAGAAAATACAAACACGATTAATAACAATAATATGCATTTGCAATGTGATAAAAATAGTAATAGTAAAATCCCATTTACAGTTCATTTTCCAACTATATAATACATAAATGTATTTATTTTAAAATTAAACTATACATTTTAGTGGTGCTCCAAAACTGTATACATCTAAACCTGAACCACCTCAAATACCATCAAACGATTTGATGATTAAAGCAGAAGATATATTAAAAATGACAACAAGCATCAATCCATTAAAAAAAGAATCTAAAAAATCACAACCTACAGTATTGCCAGGTAAAGAAATGGCAGAGGCCGTTAAAGCAACATCTAAAACAGTTGTTGTATCAGCTGGAGGTAATGCTGTAGCTGCAGCTGAATGTGCTGCCTCAATCCCAAATCAATCTGCCAAAAGCAGAGGAAAAAAAAATAAAAAGTTTATACGAACTTCTGGTGGACAGGTATGGGAAGATCAAACTCTATCTGAATGGGATGAAGGTATGCATTTTATTTAAAGTAGCAATCAATAATCAATTATATGTGTTGACTAAAAAAAAATTTTTATATGGTATTGCATTAACATAATAAGTAATCCAAATTAATTAATCATGTTTTCAGATGATTTTCGATTATTTTGTGGAGATTTAGGTAATGACGTCACTGATGAATTATTAGCTCGAACATTTAGCCGATATCCTTCATTCCAAAAAGCTCGTGTTGTACGTGATCGCCGAACTATGAAAACTCGAGGTTTTGGATTTGTATCATTCAAAGATCCAGCAGATTTTATTAGAGCTACAAAAGAACTCAATGGTATTGCTTTTTTATTTTACTGAATATTTTTACTTTATTTATAAATTCTATTTATTAGGTCGATATGTGGGTAGTAGACCAATAAAACTACGGAAGAGTATGTGGAAAAATAGAAGTTTGGAAGTGACTAAAAAGAAGGAAAAAGAAAAGGCTGCTCTCATTAATTTATTAACTGGTCAATCTTCATAACATTATTTATTTTCTTACCATATAAACAAACTAAATAATATTTCTGTAAAATTGTAAGCAGTTAATATACTTTTATTTGATTCTTAGTGCTTACTTTTAAAATAATAAGATCTTGATGTAATGGTATGAAATCATAAAATGTATAAAGCAATTTTAAATTTACTCAAATAAAATGTATTCTTTAAGTATAAAAATTAAATTTATAATTCAAATTAATATGAATCAATTTGCATTTAACTCAAATAGTTAAAATATAAACATTGAGTTTTTCAACAAGTTATTTGCACCAAAGAATAGACAGGAAGTATTAAACATAACATAAAATACAGTACCAATATTAACTACTTTTAGTGTTAAAACAAATATATATTATATATAATTAAAAATAACAGTACACTTAATTATTCAATTACATATAGTTTATAGTTTTTGTTGGTAGGTACTTTTTGAGGTGTACTTTTTCAGTATATGTTGTACTGAAAGATAATATATCTTTGTAAAGGTTATGAATTCCACATTATGGACAAGACTATGTGAATTAGATGTGAGCTAAGAGTATAAAAAAAATCCAGAATAAATATCAAGTTTTTTACATCATTATTCATTTTTTTTTTTAAATATAAAACTGTACAACTTATTTCTTCAACAATAACTTTTAACGATTCTTATTTTAATATAGACTATAGTAAGTATTTTGGTATGTAAGATAATAGGTATCGTCAGTTAAAGATGTGAATACAAATAAATTAAGTAAAATTATTAAATATGTGTAGGTGTAATATCATAATTAAAACATTCATTTATAGAAGGAGCAAGTTTTTTTTAAAAATAAAGTAATAAATAAACTTAAAAAATTTAAACGTGCAACAAAAATGAAAAAAATAATAAAACAGTAATATACAAAAAAAAAAAAAAAAAACTATAAGAAAAAATAATTTTAAAACGAAACATAAAATCACAGTTTTCGATTAATTTGTCAATAATATTTAATAAATAAATTATTTTCTTAAATTTTAATACACAATAGTAATGTTCTAACGATTAACATTTTATTAGCTTTAAAAATATAAAATATACAGTCTAAATTGTATTTGTTAATACAATTGAATATTTTGATTATATACATAATATTTTACATATAATAAATTTATACAGTTTATCACTAAATTTTCTTTTCAATTTAAAAAAAATATTTCGGCGATTGATACTTGAAAATAATTTCAAAAGTGAAATCGCATATCTTACATTATACAATTAGAAAAAAAATTTTCCCAGAGAATTTTTCATATATTACAAAAACCAATGGTTTGCGTTTTAAAAATAATTTGTAATAAGTAAAAATATTAATACAACAATTTTAAGTCTCAATATTACATAAAATGTCAAAAATGTAATTTAAAATATCATTAAACATTACTCATTTAATATCCATGGTCTTAATTTGATATTATACATAATTATATATATTTACAATGATTAGACAGGTAACAGTTAAAATAGTAATATAATAAATTAGATGGTAAATTCAATAAGCACCCACTAGACCTAAAAATAATTATCATGGGATGAATTAAAAATCAAATAATGATTGAGTATGTATTGAACCAGCAAAAAATAATAATAATTTATAAATAAAACATATTTAATTATTTTGTGTAAGCCATGAATATAACAAATTACAAATTATACGGTAGAGATTTTAAAAATAATTTCTGTTATATGATTATAAATTAGTGCATTCAGAAGATAATTTTATTCAAATTAAAAAATTACTAATTATTTGCTGCTGCGATTAAAAAAAATATATATTTTATTTGGTTGACAAAAAAGTAAAAATATTTAAAGAACTTAAAATTTTATTTATCAATTCAATTGTTACTTATATTAAATAAAATTTGATAAATTTATTGGTGACTTTTTTAAGTTCTAGTACCTAACACCACTTGATAATAGAAATACTTTGTTATTCAAAATTTATCTAAACTTAATTCATTAAACATAAAAATAAAATTAATAACTTATTTGTTTGACTTTTAATTTAAAGAATAATGTTTTAAATTTACTTTTAAAATTAATTATTATCAGATAAAAACAATAATTTAAAACGTACAGTAAATTTATTAAACAAAAAAAATTTAATTTTTAATTAATTCAGTTTTAAAATATTAATAACACCTAATTAAAAGCTATTCTATTATACTTGAGGTAATGATTTAGGAAATTTATGAATCAAGGAAATAGAAAAATATATTCCAAAAAGCTAATCATTAAAGTAAAAAGAATATATTCTCAAGAACTTCGGTTAACGATTGTTAATTTTTTCTAAAAAAAAGTATTAACATACACAAAATAATTGTTTATAAAATATGCCTCGACCAGAGGAACTATTACATTGTAATAATATATAATAACCTAATTTAGGAAATAATATACAGCTTTTAAAATTACAAATTGTATTTTCTCATAAACAACACAATATTGTCATTATATTTTTATTTTTTTTAATAGGAACTTGTTTTGATGGCCAAGATGTGCATCATTACCTTGTAGTTGGATTTATATGTACCAAATATTTGTTTATGATATTGTATCCTAAAAAGAAAAATTTTAAATTAAAAAAATCTACTAGTTTAGGTATAAAATTGTATAAGGTGTTACTTACATCTAGGAAATGAATGTTCAATGGAATACATGTTTGGTGAGTCAGAAGCATTGGATATAGTCTTCCTTTCGTCTGCTGAATTATCAGACCAATCCACTACATTGCTACTTGAAATACAATGTACCATTGGTTGCCTATTTTGCATATCAGATAATGTTGACGATGGTGATAATGCAGCGTCTAAATCAGCTGTTACAGAACTTGATGGCATTTCTGGTTTAGCTGAAGGACTTTGTCCACTCACAGGACTTAAAGTTGTTGTATCAGGTGGACTACCTACATAAGCATTACGGTTTGTAGCTACAATTAGAGCAGGTGTAGATGAAATCTGTAACATTTGTTGTCCTGCAGCAGTTTGTGTAGACACAGAGTGTTTAGCAAATTTTGAATTTTTATCAGAATTTGTTGTAGTGATAATGAAATTTCCTGATGAATTGGTTTTCTCAAGAATAAAGTTTCCACAAAGCTGTTTATCGCCAGAAGTTGGACTAGTTATAATAAAACTTTGGGTTTGCTTCTCAGAATTCATATTATTTAAAATAAAATGTGTACCACCTGACTGTTGCTTATCTTTAGGGCTCAGAATAAAACCTTGTTGTTTATTATCGGCAATAATATAATTTTGACTTGGTTTCTCATTTATTATTAAATTTCCTTGCTCGTTGCTTTGTTGCCCAGATACCATGGTCATCTGCTGTTGAACAATGGTTGTGTTTTGTTGAACTACAGTAGTATTTTCTTGATTTTGTTGAATAGAACACGGTACCACATGTATGTAATCATTTTGCTGTTGATTTCTATTCTGGTTTTGTGATTGATTAGGGCTTAAGTTGGCTAAAATAGGGCTCAATTGGCCAACACTATTCACAATAAACTGATTACTTTGTTGTGATCTTGGTTGAGTTTGAGGGGTCCTTAAAACCATTCCTGTAGGTAATATATTTTGACCTGTATTAGAAAATGGAGTTATAACATTTAATTGGACTGCATCTTGTAATAAAGAATTGTCAGCCATTACAACACCACCTAAATTTGCTGGTACAATGAATTGTTGAATAGCTGGAAGATTATGAACAAGACTAACAGGTTGTATCACATTTGTTATAAGTTGTTGGTTACCATATTGATTGGTTTTATTTGGTAGTATTAATGTTTGAACAACAGGCTGATTATAATTTTGTTGTTGAGGTTGTAACAATACACTAGAATTGTTCTGATTAGGAGATATTTGTGGTGATTTTCGCTTTTTAGAATTAATAGTTTTACGTTTAGAATCTGGGGGAGATAATAAGTTTGATCCTCTAGGTGAAAATGCTCCACTATTATCCATATTTCCTGTAGCTACAGCAAGTTGCGGTACCTGTACTTGATCAACTGTCATAACATTTCCTGGCTGAAGTAGTAAAGTACTTTGACCTCCTTGTAAAGTATTTACAAGAACAGTAGGTTGTTGTTGCACTGTTGAAAGAACTTGAGAAGTGTTAGGTGATTGTATTTTAGTTGATGCCATTATAAATTGTCCATTACTTGTTAATAATATATGGCTTGGTTGAATACTAGATTTTTCTGAAGACGTAGGTACTTGTATGCTACTTACAACACTTTGGACCATTTCTAGTGGTGTTTTGGACATGGCGGGTTGTTGTTGACTAGGTGGTAATACTTGATCTTCAGATGTATTCACAGTTACCACAGATGTATTGGTTCTGCCTGCTAAAACTGAAGTAATTGTATTTGAACTAGCTGTTCGACCACTAGCCATAGTAGTAACATTTGTTGTATATCTAGGTTTTTCTTGTCTGTATGGTCTTGCAGGAGGAGATAATGGTGAAAATGAATTTGTACTTATTGTATTATTCAGTAGAGCTGTTTGTTGTGCTAAATAGCCGCTTGGATCATCTAAAAATGATGGGTAACTGTCTTCTTCAGAAGGGGACTTAGATTTTCTACCAAAATTAACAGTTTTAGTAGATTGTTTAAGTGGCTTTCTAGTTTTTTCTTCTACTCTGGAAATTTGGGGAATATGATGATGTATAGGAGGTACTCGATCTTCAACTATTTGTTTAGAACTTTCTTGTTGGGATATTTGTTGTTGTATTTGTTGTTGTTGTATTTGTTGTTGTTGTATTTGTTGTTG